TGGGTTACTTAACATTTTCAATACTATTTAAAAATATTTGTCATAAATCCTAAAAGGAAAATATTTATATGAAGTGTGAAAATTTTGTTAAGCATAAATTCCTTTATTTCGCTTTTTTTTTTTTTGAAAGAATTTCTTTCACATAAATGTTTCCATAAAAATGCCACAAACAATGGCATTGTGGGAAAGGACAACAATAACTACATTTTTTGTTTTTATATACATGGAAGGAATAACTTTCTCAAACAATACACGAGAATGAATTTGTATGAACTTTTGTTAGGAGCACAAATAGCAATTTGAGCATGAACAGAAATGTGTGAAACTATCCTTGTGAATTGTTTATATTATTTTATCCTAAAATCTGCAGTGAGATATTTTATTTATAAAACTGCTATGAAATACTACAACAAATTTGATGTGGAACTATTTTCGATCCTTGATATGGTAGCAACATTCGCATCCCTTTGGGTTTCATTAGTTTATTGAGTGTATTTTTGTGTTATTTGATTTATGAGAATTAAAATTTGGTTATTAATTTAAAATATTTTATAAATAAAAAATTTGAAATCTTTTTTAAATGTAAATAATTATTATAAAATTGCTTGTAAATATTTCAATGGAGAAATGCACAACAACAAGTGATTTAGATACATTTGTAGTAAATGAGTATATATATTAATGCTAAAGGCCTTCTTACATTAAGACCGAAAAGTTTTCGGAAATTCTCATTTAAAATTCGCGCGCTGTATATTTTTCGATATTTTAAGTTTATGTAGTTTGGCAGCAATTAAGGACAATTACTATGCCAAAAATGAGCGCGATCTGTCAAACAGTTCGTTTACGGCAGCTGTTGAAACCAGTTCACCTCAGTAGTGCGTTGCGAAAAAACAATGGAAAAAAAAACAAAGAGTTTGCATCAAATTTTGTGTTTCGAACGAAATTTCGTGTGCAGAATCGTTGCGAATGCTACAAAAGGCTTATGGGAAATCAGTTTTATCGAAAACTCAAGTTTATGAGTGGTACAAAGCCTTTCAGGACGGTCGTACGACCGTCGAAGACATTTCGCAACGCACTACTGAGGTGAACTGGGTTCAACAGCTGCCGTAAACGAACTGTCTGACAGATCGCGCTCATTTTTGGCATAGTAATTAAGGACAGTGCTGCCAAACTACATAAACTTAAAATATCGAAAAATATACAGCGCGCGAAT